CAGCTTGTTTATAAGTTTTAGGTTCAGTTATTATGGAAAGAGCAGCAATAAAATAAGAATGAGAAGGTCCTAGTCTATTATAGGTTATATGATTTTGAATAGGATATCTGACAAGATTACAAGAAGTAGAAGAAGAGGTACCTGTAATAATAGAGTTAGGTAATTCGTAACTGTAATCTTGAAAATGTATAGCAAGAGATCTTACTCTGGTGGATTTTCTTTGTGACTGATCTTCTGAAACAGTTTCATTGTTAGTAGTAGAGTCATGTATATTCATAATATTGAATTCTTCATTAATCTGATCTTCTAAATAGTGATTAGAAGGTGTGTGATATTCATAAGTATAATCATCAGTGTTAGAAAAATCGAATACAGAGTCAGAATGAATAGAAATATCATTAGAAGGATCAACATTATTTTTATAAGGAAAAATCATTTCATAGAATTTAACATTTCTGGATATAAAAAATTTGTGATTAGAAATATCATATAGTTTATATCCTTTAGATCCAAGAGGATATCCAATAAAAACACATTTAACAACCCTTTTATCAAATTTTGATCTATTAGAAGATAAGGTAGAAGCATAAACAAGAGACCCAAAAACTCTTAGATGAGAATAATAAGGTGTTTTACCATATAATAATTCATATGGAGTTTTATTATTTAGAACAGCAGTGGGAATTCTATTTATAATATGAACAACAGTTAGAATGCAATCAGACAAAAAAAATGAGAGGTAGACAGGATTGAAATAAAAGAGACCTAGCAACTTGAAGAATATGGTGATGTTTTCTTTCAACCCTAGCATTTTGCTGGGGAGTTTCAACACAAGATAATTGATGAATGATGCCATTATCAGTATAGAAAGAAGGAAAAATAAATTCAGTACCATTGTATGTCCTAATAATTTTAATTTTAGTATGAAATTGAGTAAGAATGAGATTGTAAAACTTTAGCATATAGAATTTAACTTCAGATTTGGTTTTCATCATAAAAATCAAAGTACATCTAGTATGATCATCAACAAAAGTTAGAAAGTATTTGAAACCGGGATAAGATTCTACTTTAAAAGGACCCCAAACATTCATATGCACAAGATCAAAAGCATGTAAAGCATTAGAAGTACTATTTGGAAAAGGTAATCTTTTTTGTTTAGCAACGTGACAAATATCACAAGAAGTGTTTTTATTGATATGATGTTGAATATTACAGTCAACAAGAGAACTGAGTTTATTAAAGGGTAAATGACCAAGTCTATAATGCCAAATATCAGAATTATTTGTTACAGTTTGAGTATCAATAGTATTAACAGCAGAAGACTTAGTAGGTATAAGAACAGATTTAGAAGAATTGTAAAGATAAAGTCCATTTTGAATATCAGCATAGCCAATCATTTGGTTGGTGAGCAGATCCTGCAAAGTAGCATGATTAGAAGAGAAGTGAACATAAATATTTTCATGTAAAACTAAACTACTGATAGAAATTAGATTAAAACTAAACTGTGGAACATATAAGACATTGTGAAGAGTAAGATTATCATTTACTTTAATGTCACCAATATGAGTATCAGTTATAAAAGAACTAGTAGGTAATTGAACATTAATAGAAGTAGGTTTAGGTGATGTTGTATATAAACTAAAGTTGTGAGTCATATGATCAGAAGCTCTAGTGTCAAGAATCTAAATAGAAGTGGTGACAGTAGATAGGAAAGCAGAATGAGTACCTAGAAAAGGAGAATCATTAGAAGGTTGATCATGTTGTGGAACAGCCATAGCAACATGAGCAGTAGCAGAATTAGCATTCTGAGTTTTCATAAACTCAAGAAACTTATTGTAGAGTGTAGGATCACAAAGTTCCATGTCATCAGAAGGAGAATCAGTAGTTGTATATACATTTGATATATAATTTCTGGAATTACATTTGATAGTATACATTTGATAGTATATAGAGTTTAATCTTCCTATGAGCGAGTTGCATTTGGACTTGTCTCAACAAGTTACATTTTGCATACACCTAAGTTAAATTTTCCATCAACGTTACATTTTTCATAACACGAGTTACATCACAAAATAAACTCTGGCTATTGAAACAAAAATGAATCAATTTTTTGCAAAAAAAATATTTTTTGGCAAAAAAAAAAATCTTTTGAAAAAAAAAATTATTTTTCTTTGAAACATTTTTATGGCCTTGATACTAAAACAAAACATATTATAAGTATTAACTATTTACGTACATTAATTTGAGCAATTAGACTCATTGTTTTCATTGTTTACATTTGATAGTATATGAAGTTAAATCTTCTTATGTGCGAGTTACATCTTTTTTATGCGAGAGTTACATTTTCTTATACACGAGTAACATATAGACTTGCTTTAACAAGTTACATTTTGCATACCCTAAGTTAGATTTTTCATCAACGCGAGTTACATTTTTACATAACACGAGTTACATCACAACATAAAGTCTTACTATTGAAACAAAAGAATCATTTTTTTTTTGCAAAAACAATTAATTTTTTGGCAAAAAATGATTTATTTGGCAAAACAAGTGATTATTAAAAAACATTTTTATGGACTTAATATTAAAATTGAACACACTCACTATTTAAGGAAGCCTCTACTATTGAAAAAAAAATCATTTTTTTGCAAAAAAATATATAATTTTTTTGCCATTAAGAAAAAACATTATTTATGGCCTCAATATTAAAAACAAACATATTGACTATTTACGTAACGTAATTGAGAAATTAGACTCCCTGTTTTCATTGGATTCAATGTTTTATTTCTTATAATCCGTATTAAACAAGTTACATTTTCACTTGCCTGCAGTTACATTTCTTATCAGCGTGAGTTACATTTTTTACATGTGAGTTACATTATTCTGCTATTGTAGAATGGAAGAAAAAAGTTATTGTTCACCCGCGTGGATAGTAACGCGCATTTTTGTCTGTGGGAGTAGCATGCTCACGGTGGGCTGCTCCCACGGTATACGAACTGCAAAATCTGGAGTTTCATCCTAAAAGTCAACCTGATAGGAGGAGTAATCCAGATCTTAATATAACACTTAATTCCTTCACAAGTTTCATGTGTGAGAATTCAACACTCCTCCTCACGACCAGACACTTCGTCTCGATCAAGCCGTCATTCATTTTTTTATCGAATTGTTATTGGCATTTTTTATAATCGTATCATCATTCTTTTAAATAGGGGGTCTGCGCCATGGATTGATTTGGCTCTGATACCATGTCAAGATTTGGAGTTCTATCCTAAAAGGTCAACCTGATAGGAGGAGTAATCCAGATCTTAATATAACACTTAATTCCTTCACAAGGTTCATGTGTGAGAATTCAACAAGTTACTATATAGAGAATCATTTTAGAATTTTTTTCATATTTTTTCTGTATTTTATAAATAAAATATATTTGAAATATAATCTTTTCATTGACAAGAAAAAATTTAAACTCCACTAAAAAATATTACCTACATCCCCATTGGGACATGAGAATGTTGTGTTGTTATTAAGGAAAAAAGATTTATGTGACTGAAATTAAATTGAATTGATAAAATAAGAATAAAATAGTAAAAATGAATTAGAACTTAGAACCAAAATACATAAACTTTATCAAATTTCGTAATAGAAAATATTAGTAAGACAAGTAGCAAAAGAAAGACGTGATTGACAATGAACAGAGTAATTTGATGTCCGCTCTTTGGAGTTTTGTCATGACCGTGGTGTAACTCACCTGGTAGAAATTAAAGGGCCAAAAGATTGTCCATAAGACCATTTGGGCTATGTTTAAAAAACCCACCCGACCCGGCCGGATCGATCCGGAACCCGGCGACTAGAGCCGTCAAAATGGGCCGAAACCCGCGGGCTGACCCGTTTAAACCCATTTATTGGTGGGTTAGGGTTGAAAATTTCTGACCCATTTAGTTCGCGGGTTTCACGGGTCAACCCACGCGGGTTGTGGGTTTAAGTGGGTTGGCCCACCGGGTTGCGGGTTGGCCCGCGGGCCAATATAAAAAAATATAGTTTTAAATTTTATTATCTTAAATATTATCCTTTTACTACCAATACTATTATAATTACAAATAAAAAATTACAACCATGGCAAAACAATATTTATTTCAATAATAAATATTCAAATAAAATGTTGAAACATATATTTTATGTGAAGTTCGATACAGTATTTAAGAATTAGTAGTCATTATTTACAAATAATTAACCAAAAGGTTTATGTAGATCTTTATTTTTATACAATGAGTATTTTTGTCGCATACCCTCTTATAGTTTTCAAATTCTCGTATAACTAGTATTTAATATTTTTTAATTTGACTTCACAAGTATTGAATTTTTAGTATTTTGATTTTTTATATTTCCCTTGTTACTACTTACTAATATAAATTTATACTTTCGGGTAATTGTTTTTAATTTTTTTGTTACATATTTTTTCACATATTGGCCCGCGGGCCTACCTGTTTAACCCACGGGTTAGGTGGGTTGGGTTAGGGTTGTAGAAATTCTGACCCGTCATTAAACGGGCTGGCCCGACCCAACCCACATAGACCATAACCCGTCACGGGTCAGGTCGGGTTGGACCGAGTTGGCCCGTTTGACAGCTCTACCGGCGACCCAGACAAAAAACCGATTCGGTTTGTTCAAAACCCGGAAATGGCCAAAAACCGGTAAAACCCGGCTGAGCCGGACCCAAGAAACCTGAAAAAACCGGGAAAACCCGATTTTGGGTGCTCTTCCAAAAAAAGTAATTTCTTTTTAATTTTAATGCATTTTTTAAACCAATAAAATTGCAATTTCAATACCCTAAAAAGAAAAACTATGTAATATATTTATATATTTATTTAAGAATGAAAATCATGCCAAATTATAATATAAATGTATAATACAAATAAAAATATCATTATATATTTTTATAGGATCAAAATTATACTTTGAAATATTATGAGAGTGTATTAAATGCTTAATAAGTAGTATTGTTAGTTGATTATCATGATTAATAACTACTTTTTATTATAATTTTGTATATAGGCCTTTTTATTCCAATATTACTAAAATGAATGAAAAATACAAATTTGTGACCTATTTTAAATTTTTCAAAAAATGTGACTAAAAGTCATTATTTCTTGTATTTAATCATACATTTATTATTTTAATATTCATTTTATATATTTGATTAGTAGTCCTATGACCGTCGACCGTAGCAACGCCGCTACCGCCGAAACCACCACCATTACCGGTGCCGCCTCCGAGGCCTGCACCGCCGCCGCCGAAGTCGGCACCGCCGCCGCTAGTCACTATCTCATGACTCTGGCCATAGTGACTCCGCTGGCCATAGTGACTCCCGCCTACCGGCCATAGTGACCACTGCTCACCGACCAAAGTGACTGCGGTGATGGTGACTGCCTGCTCATCGGCCAAAGAGAAAGCCCACTCACCGGCCAGTGACTGCCGCCCCCGGTCAGTGACGTCGCCTCGCCAGTGACTGATGTCGCGTCACCAGTGACTGCCGCGGACCCGTCGACCAGTGACTGCCTCCGCCCTCTAACCAGTGACTGTCGCCGCCCCCGGACAGTGATTGTCGCCGCCCCCGGACAGTGATTGCCGCCATCCCTCGGCCAGTGACTCCCACCGTCCCGCCTCCGGCCAACACCGCTAGTGACAATACAAAACCCGACCAGTCTGCGGGCCATGCCTGTCCTTTTCCTAGGTCACCAGTGAGATGCCTGGCTCAGCCACCGCTGCCACCCAGCCTCCAGCCACCCCCGTGTCCCAGCTCCGGCCACCGACGCTCCCTGCCCCACAAACCCGTCATAGCCTTCCCGTACTCGCAATTATACCCGCAACCTTGTCATTGTCCGACCAGCCCCTACATGCCACGCCCATGGCCCCACCCTGGGCTCGTCCTTCGCCTCTCGCAACCCCTTCCGACTCCAATATGAAGAAAAAATGGCTGGAAGAAGAACCAATCTAGATCTAGATATAGATCTAGATTCGCGGATGGAAATGAAGCAGAGCAGCAATATGCGAAGAGATCTGGATCGTCACCATAGATCTAGAAATATGGACAGAAAATTTAAGAAATAGAAGAGTTGCGGCAGGACAGCGATGTAAGGCGGCGACGTGTGTTGAAGCTGGAGTCGATGGGGAAGAAGAAACCTTGCTTGGTGTTGGGAAGGACTGGAAAACTGCGTTGATGCTTGTGCTGGTGCAATGTGCGAAGAAGAAACGAACGGATGAGGGGGCAGAAGTGAAGGCAAAGAGTCGCGTTGGAGATTGTCCGTTACATTAGGGAAGAAGAAGCATGTGCTGCCATGGGAGAAGTAGAAGTGCTGAATGAAGAAGAATCTCTGCAACGAAGAAGAAGATACGAACCGAGGGTCACATTAAAGGAAAAAAATAAATAGGTCATACTTTTGGAAATCAAAACACGGATACTAATATTAGGGTCATTTTTTCTTGTATATAATTATATATTTATTATTATTATATAGACGTATAATCGTTAATCGGTTTTCCGACATTGACCGGGTTGACCCACCGGGTCCGGGATGACCCATGACCCAGTCACTTGACCGGGTCGCTCATTGGTCCGGTTTTTACAACATAGCATTTGGGATGGCGTGAGAGTCTAAATGTCAAAAATGGACTCTATCCATACGAAAAAATGCATTCCAACACCGTCAATAAAATATACTCTGTAAAATTTTTTACATATCAATTTAGTAAAACATGAATTAAATTAGTATAAGTAATGTTTTCCTTTTAATTTTTTACCTAAATAGTTGTGAAATAAAAATTACACATTTCGATGTAAAAATAAATCAATTTCATTTTTTTTTACGTTTTTCGGTTAACAAAAAAGGAACTTAGTTCAAGTAAAATTTGATCATGGAATATTCAGTTATATTTGGAGGCTCTACGAATTAAAAACTTGTGTTTCGTGTTCTTTCGCGTTCAAGAAAATTTCAATAGTTAACATTTCAATTTTTTCATTTTATATGCTACATATTTGTATCACATAAAAGATCATAAAAATTCATTAATATTGATATATTTTTTTGAGAAATTTGGAGAACAAATAAAAAATTAATAAAATTTAAAAAAAATTGGGATTATAATGATGCAGGGATGATGCAAGGATGATGTCATCCCCACATCTATGCAATGCATCTTCCGCCTCTCCCTTCCCCATTTCTTTTGTTTTTCCTTTTACCACTTCTATCGATCCACCCTCTATTTCTAACACCCTCCATCTCTTTTCTCATTTTTAATACCCCATTTAGACTACCAGAATTAGTAGTCCAAAAATTTCATCTTTAACATTTTGGACTCCTAATACTACACCACTTCAAATAGTCTAAGAGAGAGGTGCTGAGTTCAACTCAAGATAAAACCTTATAGAAGTTGCGCTACATAGGAGTAAAAACGTTTTGAAATTACAAAATAGGACTTTCATGTTTTTGTTCCTTAAATAGGAGTAATTCTGCCAAATTTAGAAAAAAAATGTCATGTTTAAATGCCTAGTAATGTCAAACTTGACATAAATTTACTCTGATTCAGGAATTAAAAAACATGATGATGCTATATTAGAATTTGAAAACATTTTTATTCTCGGGAAATCTTTCAAAAACTTATGTACAATCCGATCCTAGTGCTCTCAACGATGAGATGTAATTTTTTTTACGTATGCGGCAAAATTTTACCTTTCTTTTGGCAACATCATTGTTTACCATCACACTTCGTATACGGCGATGTCATGTATCATAGACAGAACTCAGAAGGGTAAATTAGTCATTTGATTTAATTCAGACTACACATTCAGCACTCAAAGTAAATAACTTGTTATTCTACTATGACTTAACCCAAACAGACGTCTTAATCCAGATAGACATCTTAATCCAGACAGGACTTAATGCAAAAAAAGTAAACAACCCCTAAGTCTCTTTTGAGTTTTGACACATCACATATGTAATCCATCACAGCACCCTCCGAGTAAAAATGATGTTAAATTAGAGTTTTATTTTCGAATTAATGTTAATTAATTATTTAATTACGAAAATAATGATGGAAAAAAAAAATTACTGATCTACTGTTGGGTTTAACCATGGTCGGGGAAAGTCGCCCAACGGTTGGGCGACTTATACCGTTGGGCGACTTTCCCTTTAGATTTTTATAATATAATAGTATAATAATCTAATAAGAATATTTAAATAATGAGTTTTTTTTCGAATTGGTTTTTGAATATTTAAATAATAGGAGTTTTTTACGACTTAAATAATATAATAATCTAATAATAATATTTAAATAATCTATTGTAATCAGTTAGTTGAGGTTTTTGCTTTTATTTTGGAAATTCCGTCTTATTTAAGCTCGAGAGAACAATAATTGTGACCAACAACTACTGCCATCTAATATTCATACTCGAACACATCAAGACAACATGCAAGAGTTTAGAAGAGAACATACGTAAAATGCTGTAAATTGTTCCTACAACATCTACTGTACAAGAAAAAGTGCAATACAAAAGGCAAACTACAAGTTCTCATGGTCATCTTGATCATCTTGGTCATGGAGATATTGTTGCTGATGTCTACGCCTACGCCGTGGTCGTGGTTGAAGAACCACTCTCTCATGCTGCGTCTGGGATGATGAAGCCGCCACTGCACTAGACGTCGATGCCATCTCCTGAGATGGGGACATGTGTATAAGATGGCCGTCTGAACGAAAGAGACACAAACAAACAAGTGATGTTGTAATACCATCCCATGTAGTCTCCTGAAACAGATGGGACAAATGTTGGTGTCCCAGTCACAACTAGCCCAGCTCGCCTGTCCCACATAGTGACGTATCGGACATGTCTGAGTGCCCAATCCTCCGAATGCTTCCCACGCCTATCCAGCCTATGAAGCTCCACATAAGTGTCGATAGGCCGTGGAATGACCTGCTCAAACCCAAACTGTCGCAAGACTCGATCAGGCAAATGAAACTCAACAATGTCAAAACATATCAACGGCACACGTGCTCGCCATATGTCAGTATGCTCTCGTAAAGCTGGGGGCAACTCTACAAACATCTCAGCTGTATAGGGCATCCATGTAATCTGTTTTATAAAGATACAAAATTAGTATTTATGCTATACATTTTATAGTTAATGTTATATTACCCACACCATACCTGATCCTCAGACATCCGATCAAATGCATCCCTGTAGACACCGAGCCCAGTAACGGATGACATGCGACTTAGACCAGCAAATAGCCATCTAACCATTCATGTAACCGTTTCATTAATATGGATATTATTAATATACTTACATTCAACATACAATAACATAAATACTAACGATTGAAAACATACCTACGGCCTAGAGGGTCCTCGCCCTGTACATGATGTGGTCCCAGAAGACGTGGAGGCTGACCAGGGAGTGGGTGTCCATCAATGCCATGATATGCGACTACAATGGGATGTCCAATGTGGATATACTCCCATGACCAAATCTGGAGGAGTAGCAAAAATCCTCCAAGCTCTGTGCTCCCTCTATGGCAGCCGCGACACAGCTGTCTGTAGAGATAGGCCAGCGTGGCACTACCCCAGTTGAACTGTGCTGCTACATCAAACCTCTCTAGGGCAATGGCAAGTGCAGCACCTGAACCTCATTTCCGCTCTTGTCAACGAAAATGGAGGCTCCCATCATCATTAAGATATATGCTCGCACATGCTGCTGGATCATCACCTCATCAGCGTCCGGATGAAGCACCTGGAAGTGCTCCCTCAACCATGGCATCCTCAGGGATGACCCCTGAAGGTCAGTCCGAAGAATGGGGCGGACACCTAACAAGCGCTCACATTCATCTACCCACTGTCGACAAGCAGTGCCTGTAACAGCTCTCCCATGAACCTGTAGCCCAGTAAGTACAACAACATCTCCCAAGGTCACTGTCACCTCACCAACAGGGAGGTGAAATGTGTGTGTCTCCTGTCTCCAACGCTCAAGAAGAGCAGTGAGTAGCGCTCTATCGAGAGGGACAGTAGCCACCAATCTGTGCAGACCATAAAAACCCGCAGCACGAACATATGCAAGTACTCTGTCGTCCACGTGCATATGCGACAAACCGCGCATGTGCTCGCGGCACCTATCCACCTGAACATCGAGGCCAAGCCACACACCCTCACTCCTGTGTGAGGCCTGCAATGTCAGGACAGAACGATCACTCGGCCCAGGATCCGCTGTCACATACATGCCTACTAACAATTAAAATCGTATTAGTTAATTTTAAATATTATACTAATTTTTTTAATCATCCATTTTATCAATTTAAAAAAAAAGAATTTTCAATATACACATTCAAATTTTCAATAGAAAAAACTACAAACAAATATATCCAAAAGTCAAAATTCACAAACAACTCACATTTCAATATCAAAATACCAAAATTTAAGTCTACATTTCAATACAGCTGTTATGCTTCAAAAAGACCATAAGCTTGAAAACTAAATTCATAATCTTCATTACAACAATACAACCAACCCGAACAAACACTTCATTACAACATTACAACATATGCTAATATATCCTACTTCCCAGCAAGCCGATAACAAACAACCCGAACCACACTACATTCCAGGAGAAAGTTCCATTGCCTTTCTTTGACATCTTGAGTTCCTCTTCCATATTTTGGAGTTTCAAAAGACCAATTCCACGAACACGACACTTGATTTCAGCTTGCATCTCGAATTCTTTCATTCGGAAATTCTCTTCAACACTTGTAATCTTCTGAAGCAAGGTCTCTATCCGTCTCAGGCAAGTGCCACATTCTTCATCCTCAACCCATTCAAAGAAATTGCACTTTTGACCACTCAAGAAACGACCCCACCCATAAAATCTTTTCCCCTGTTTTTGTCTGTTGTAGCAGTCCACACTGGTGCTTGGAGTCCACAGTCACACCTCTTAAATCGCCTTGTTGCATCCATCGACAAGGACTCAGCACTCGAAGAACTCATCACACCTTAATTTTTTTAGCATTAATAAAGTTCAAATTATCATTTCCACTCTTAATTCGTTAATACGCGTGGATTTAAATGAAGATTTCTTTGTTATCTCACCTTAAATTTTTTAGCATTAATAAAGTTCAAAAATTTAACAAACTTCAATTCATACCTCCAAAACTACATTACATAACAATGAATTCAACATCAACATACAACACTTCATACATATTCACATTACACAACAAATCAATTCACAAATGAATTCCTAATTCACAAATTCCAATTTTCTATATTTTAAACCCTAAAATGAAAAATGAGATAAATTGGAGATATTTCTTTACCTAGAGTGTTGAAGAAGATGAAAGGGAAGTAGTATTGACAAGATATGGAGGCCTTGCCTTCGCTCGCCGGAGATTAACCTTCGCCGGAGTCGGGGGAGGTGGGTCGCCGCACTTCGCCGGAGTCGGGGAGCTGCAGAGGGTTTGGGAGTTTTGGGGATTTGGGGGAAATGTTGCCTTCTATCTGTCCCAACACGACTTATGTTTAAGAGGTAAGTCGCCCAACGGTTGGGCGACTTATAAGTCGCCAAACCGTTTGGCGACTTACCCCTACCACGGTTAAACCCAGCAGTACTTCCGTAAATACTTTTAACCCAACATTTTTTTCGTAATTAATTAATTAAGTAGCATTAATTAAAAAAAACTCATTAAATTATAAGCCATTGCTATCATAAGAAATGTAACATTAATATTTTGCTATATAAATGTCTAATAATGCCAAAAAATGATAATATATATGATTTCAAAATGATAATAATCACTCATTATTTTGCAAAATTATGTTACTCATATTATAAAATTTCAAATTATTTTTACTTTCTATTTTAGAAAATTTCTCTTATTTATTGAGCTGAAGTTAATTCTGATCCTAGAATAGGATGAAAGTTAAATATTCTATAGTTCTTACAGAGAAATGTCAATGTATTTTTTCAAAATCATTCATTTCTATTTTGATAAGTATTTAATATTTAATATTATTTAAAAGGACTAAATAAATAGGCCTTATTTTATGAAGAATGTGTTTAGTCTTACTTTAGAACTTGTCCGTATATTTTACTCTTACTCTTATACTCCGCATTCAACAATTTCTTCATTATATATGGATGTCTTATTCTCCAATGTTTTTTTACATCTCATTTTTCGCTTGGCTTGGCCAAAATCGAAGCAAAAACAAAGAAAGAAAATTCGTCGAATAAATATCGTGGAACTAAATTCCTCAGCTATCTAAGATGGCCGATAATGGAGATTTGTATTTTTTGCGGACCATGGTAGTGGGATTTATAGCAGGAGGTCTACCCATTGTTGCAGCATTGTATCAACATGCAGGCGTCTAATCAATTTGGAGGTCCCGATTACAAACACAAATTTCAGGCCCTATATATGAATACAAAATAAAATTACATATAATAAAAAACCTAAATGGTGAAGCATAAAATCATAATCTATAAATCTATTAACTATTATCAATGATGTAATTTAAGTATTGAGTAACAATAATCAAATCAAAAAAACTTTAACATACATATGCACTTACGCAGTTAAATTTTAGGGGTAATTTGAGTTTGCACCCCATATTATTGTCTAAATTGAACTTTGCACACCGTTTTTAAAAATCTTTGTTTTTGCACTCCATCACCTACCATATGAAAAGACAAAAATTACTTGCCCATTTATATGTATATTATTACTCCTAAATTACTGGGGTTCGCTCCCTGTACTCAACCTCCTTCCTAGTCACGAACGGGGTATGGTCCGAGGGTCAGAGGGTGTATGTTGTCGGTACCCGGGAGTATGGGCCCTTCGGCGCCCTCCTTGCCTCAACCGTGAGTAGACTGAAGCCCGTGTCGACTATGTCTCCTCGGTATACGAATGCAGCGGCTGCATGCTATGAATTGGTGAGGGAGTTGAATACTCGGTGTCCCCGGTGTACGTAGAATAACCATCATCATGTTCATTAGCCATCTGGTGCATAGTTTCTGCCATTTTCCTCATCACCCGAGGATCTCTTCTTGCGTCTTCAGTGATTAAATGGGTGAGATCTCCATCATATTCCTGACTCTAGCTACCGCTGGTGCGACTCTCCGTTGCCCAGGTTCCGGAGGATCTGCTGCCCCCTGTCCCCCGGAAGTACCATGGGTAGTTTCAGATGTCATTCTGTCCATGTTGATGTGTCTAGATTTGCTTAAATCAGTCTTTTGCTTTGGAAACTTTTAGTAAACGTTTTTCACAGACGGCGCCAATGTTGAGGTTAAGTCCCGAACGACCCGAAGGCCCAACACCAACCTTGGATCTAGGATGCGATTTGCTACAGTGAAGTGTATAAAAGAAAATATAAAATCTGATTCAACTACTCAAATAACTCAGCTTGTATTAACGCAGTAATAACAATTACACAGAAATGGCCGAACGGCAGTTCTGGTCCAAAGGCTAATACAAGGGTTAGAATGCTATTAGATCTAGAGAGTAAACAAATGTTAACCCTTACAATGAATTAAATACTGTTATTTATACTAGATGGGGATATGGGGTGCTCTAATATGATTGGTTGTCTCCCATGCCACTTACCTGCAGTCGGTTACTCTAGCAATGTTCGTTCGGGATTAAGTCTAGCTAAGCCATCAATCAGGAATAAGCTAATTACTCAAGTAGTAATTATATCTCGTGCGGGATGTGCCGAACGGGGCCTGCCGTTCGGGCCTGATGATTCTCCCTGGGCCTTACCTTGCGCCTACGCTTCAGGGATATTTTGGGCCGCCGTATTGGGTCGGACCTTAATATCCCATCAACGGTTAATAGTAATTCCAATTTTTTAAAGTGTCCTAAAAATTAAATGAAAAATACCAGAAGGTGCGTCTCAACAAGACGATCGGTGGGCTATCTTTCTTTTTTGTTTCCAGCCACCCTTATAACCGAAAAGTCCATCAGAAAAGTGATATTTGTGAAATCATTTTTAAAAAATAATTCAAACTGATCCGAGAAATCCAAAGGCGAAGGTGGTTTGGAGGTCATCTTGACGATGCGCACCTTCCGGTATTTTTGTTTTAATTTTCTGAGCACTTCTGAAAATTGGAGTTACTATATATTAACCGTCTTTTTCAGACGTTTTTTAACGACGTGACCCTCTTGTAATAATAGAATTCAAACACATGAACCATTTTGACAAAAAAAAGAAACACATGACCCTATCTAAAAACGGGTCCAACCATACGTGTCTTTTCCGTACTTTTGCCTTTAAATTTTTTCATGACCGGGGGTGGGTGTCTCACCGAGTAGAAAACGTCATGCCATAAAAGTTAGAGGTGCTGAGTTCACGGATGAGATATTCATTTTTTTTATTTATCTATGTGGTAAAATTTTACCTTTCTTCCCGCAATATCATTGTTTACCATCACACTTTGTATACGGCGGTGCCATGTAAAGCCCGCAAATAATACTCTTTTGAGTTATGACACGCACACGTATTCCATGACGGGCAAAATTCTCCATTAAAGGATGAGTAATACGCGTAGTATTTCATTCATAGTAGTCGTATACTAGTCCCCGCGGAAAGTTCCAACTTTTCATTTGTATATTCCATTTAAAAGTTTTCATTATATTTTAGAAAATAATTTACTTTCTTTAATTACACTTTTAATCAAGTTTCTCTTTCCTACTCAATACATGTATGTGTAACAATTTTCTCTCCTCCAACTTGTTTCCCTTTAATTACTTCCAATATACAGAGTATATGTTTGTTTTTTCTAAATATTATATTTTCTCTCTTTTTATCCAAATTGCTTATTTGATCATTTACCTAAAAGATCGTGTCATTTATCCACGAAAACTTTCCAACGAGACGGAGGGTATTATTTTTTGGCCTTACGAGTAAAATTGTAAAAACGGTGTTAAATTTTACCTTTCTTCCGACAATATCATTGTTTACAATCACACTTTGTATACGGCGGTGCCATGTAAAGCCCGCAAATAATAGTCTCTTTTGAGTTATGACACACGCACATACATCATATATGAGTACTGCATATTCTAATACCAAAATACTAATACGCGTAGTACTTCATTCGTAGTAGGTTCGTCCAAAGTTCTCAATTTTCTTATTGGGATGTTTCATTTAAAAGTTCTCATTATATTTTAGGAAATAATTTACTTTCTTTAATTACACTTTTATTCAAATTTCTCTTTCATACTCATTACATGTAAGTGTCACAATTTCCTCTCTCTCAACTTGTCTCCTTTTAATTAATTCTACTCCATACTTTATATGTTTGCATTTTCTAAATATTCTCTTTCCTCTCTTTTTATCTAAATTGCTTATTTGATCACTTACCTAAAAAATCGTGTCATTTACTCATGAGAACTTTCCAAAGGGACGGAGGGTTTTATTTTCCGGCCTTCCGAGTAAAAATGGTGTTAAATTTTAAAATATGAACTTTATATTTTCTCTAATTCTAAGCCATTTCTAGCATCATTACGAATTGTAACATTAATATTTTGTCATATAAATGTCTAGTAATGCCAAAATATGATAATATGATTTGAAAATGATAATAATTACTCACTATTATGCGAAATTATGGTACTCATATTATAAAATTTTGAATTACTTATACTATTTTAGAAAACTTCTCTTTTATTTATTCAGCCGAAGTTAATTAGATTGAAAGAACTTTCATATTATACATAGTTCTTAAAGAGAAATGTCAATGTATTATTTTCAAAAGCATTCATTTCTGTTTTGATAAGTATTTAATATTTAATATTATTTAAAAGAACTAAATAAATTCGCCTTATTTTGTGAAGAATGTGTTTAGTCTTACAGTCTTACTTTAGAACTTGTCCGTATATTTTACTCCGTATTCAGCAATTTCTTCATTATATATAGATGTCTTATTCTCCAATGTTTTGTACATCTCATATTTCGCTTCACTTGGCCAAAATCGAAGCAAAAAGAAAAGAAAATTCGTCGAATAATAGATATCGTGCAGTGGAACTAAATTCCTCAGCTATCTAAAATGGCCGATAATGGAGATTTGTATTTTTTTCGGACCATACTAGCGGCACTTATAGCAGGATTTCTACAGATTGGTGCAGCATTGTATCAAAATGCATCTGGTAAGGTATGTAAATTACTCGCCCATTTATATGTATATTATTACTCCTTAGTAGTTTTCATATATAATTTCGTTTCAGTGACATATATATATAGAGAAATTATATATTTATACGTATGCACCCGATAGCCTAGGAGCCGATAAATCAATTTTTCTGAAGTGATCTTCCGTACGTAGCATCTAAAAAATTGCTTCTAGAAGTAATTTGTAGCACCAACAAGTACTTTCGAACTTTTGTCCAAACACTTCAATATCTGCTTCTGTTCTCTCAAAGAATAGAAGCAGTTTTAGGAAGCCTATTCAAACACACCTAAACAATTTAAGGTGTTCTTCACTTTGAAATTTGGATTATTAGGAGGAAGATAACATTGGGAGTTCTGATGCTTGTGGTGCGGCAGCACATTTGGAAGTGTTCACGGTGGTTCTTTTGATTATCGTAGCAGTGTTAGTTGTGGGGGTTCGTTGGTTTGTTACTCAGTCAGGTCTTGCCGCCTACCGGACTACTCCTCCGCACCGGAGCCCCAAAACAATGAAGATATATGCCGTCACGTTTTTGGTAATTTCGTGGTATGTATCGAAGTCATAATATATTTTTGGGAAAAGGTCAAATAAACTCTTCCACTATTTGTCATTCATTAATTAAGTTTTTCTCTTATAAAAAGTATCGTATAAATACATTTACTTTTTTATATACAATCAATCAAGTCATTTTAATTAGTACATGGGTTTGTGATAGAAATAATGACCCATATATTACCATGGAACTTTCCAATTCCAAAAATATGACCATATTTCTATTTTCCAAAAAAGTGTATTAAATTAATCAAAACGGAAGATCTCTATGCATTTATGATCAGTTATCACCTTTCCAGCGAAGCATTTATCTCCATCGCATAGGGAGTCCAAACGATCGATCTCGTCATTGCGCATTGCTTCTCGCTTCCAGCGCAGTTAACGATGGAGGATGGCCATGGATCTCCTGTCATCTCTTCCAGCGCCGGTGAGTGAAGATGAGGTCGCCGCCGCCTTGTTCTTCTCCTTCTTCTTTCTTCTTCTACACAAAATCTCGCGCTAGGGTTATGGCGGGGGGGAGGGGGGGGCTGGTAGGTTCTGCCCAGTAAGGTGGTTGGGGTAAATGAGGTTTGGAACAAGATTTTGCGAGTTGCAACATCTAAAAAATTGAGGAAAAATTATGCAACATTCCAAAGATTATTATTACTCCGTATTAAAAAAGGATGCATAGGATCTCTGCAAGTACCGGGGATAGAGCTCTACTCTCTATCTGTCACATTGGAATTATAGTCTAATTTACATTCTCCCAACGTATCGTCCGGTCGGGGTTGGGGGACATGGATAGGGTGTCCATCCTTTTTTTATTACTCCGTATCAAAAGGAACAACGATTTCCGCATTGCTTTTTGAATGTGATACTCAATATAATTGGACTTTTCTTTCTTTAAGCCAAAATTATGAAAAATGAATAAAGTTATTGAAGCATAGAGCTGTTGATTAATTTCATTTGTACGACTTGTAATATATTTTTAATCATTTTTTATTTTTCATATTTTAAAATTCTTAATTACTTTCTTTAATTTCTATTCTTTTAAGATCCAATATTTTGGTCCTTTACTTGAATTGGTTCAGTTTTCTCACATAGTTCCAACATCTAAAAAATTGAAGAATAATATAATTAAGCCACATTCCAAATATTTTTAAAATAGTTATTATAAAATGGAATAATTATTTCCACATTTCTTTTTGAATGTGATATTCAATATAATTGGACTTTAATTTTCTTTCCTTAAACGAAAATAATTATGAAAAATGAATAATGTTACTAAAGCATATCACATATTATCCTCTGTATCATAATAGTTGCAACATTGGAATTTACACACTATTCGTGTATTCTACTTTGACTACATTTTATTTATTAATGTATGTAAATTATTTTTTTTGAAAAATATTGTTGCATTCGTCTCATTACAAAGTTTCATAACCTGATTTTTAAAAGTTTTTTACTAATAGAGAATAAAATATATTGATTGTCAAAGCTGTGCATTGGCCACTACAAAACAGCATGGGATTAGCAGGGATTTTGACAGAGATTTGGCGGGGATTTTGGCAGAGATATGCCAAATCCGTTCCAAAAACACTTTGGCACGAGCTATTTGGCACGAAAAATGTGTAAATTCGTGCCAAATTTCGTGTCAATCCTGTAATTTTTTTGTAGTGGGCAAACGTGAAAAAGGGAATGTTGCAACTAAAAAAGAACGAAGGAAGTATAAGGAATGATATTTACCCTGAAATTGTCTACTTATCTCAATAATAGAAACCGATAATCCATAAATTTAATAATGTGATATTTTCTTGAAAATATTGACGGCTTTAATTCACCAAGCTCCATTAATTAATAAGTACTCCATATATGTCCTTTGCATTTAAGAAACTAAAAGTCCAAACTTATAACCAAATATAAGTGTCTAGACACTTTGTAGTCAATTAAAGTATCTAATAACACAAGTATGAAGTTTGTTAGGGTTTAGGGGTGTCCATTGGAGTGAAAGAGAGAGAAAAATGTTAACATTACATTGGCATTTAAGGCCGGTTTGGTTGGGCGATTCCAAGGGAGAGGGAAGGAGAGGGGTTATATTTGCTTGTTGTAACTTATGTGAGGCCACATGCAGGATCTTATTCATTGTAGGAGCTCTGTGCTATTCGTTGGGGATAGCGCCATACCTTGTTGATGGATCGTGTACCATGAACGTCGCGTATCGCTATATGTTAGTTGGAGGAATTGTTTGGCTTGTTGATTGTATCATTGTCGCTATGGTATATTACACCATTTTTCACTATTTACTGTGATTGGTTTTCACCATGGGCGTTGTACGTCTGATAAAGTTAATTTCATATATTATCTTTGTTAGTCAAACAATATGATAATTCTCGTTTGGGACCATTTCTTCTATCCAATTAAGTATTTTGATCTTGTTTCTTGTTGGCCTTATTTTCCACCTATTTAAGTAGAACAAAATTTAACAAGTAAATATAGTAACTTACGCAGATTTTGGTTCAAGTGAGAAATGCTATCTAATGTGAGAAATGAGAATGACTCTCAACCGTTGGTGTTGGTAGAAAATAACTCGGGTAGAGAAATTAGTAGCATTTCAATATAGTAGAAAAAGCTTAGGTGAATACAAGGGGTTGGTGGCCTATTTATAGGCGTATATAACATGCTCATCGATTAAGTGCTACATGGGCTTGGCCCGATTTATCAACTAATACTGATGCTAATGGGCCAGCCAACCCGATAAGTAATTAAATAATCCCGAACCAATATCCGCTGGCCCGACTGTGTTCTGAGCTTGGTTGGGCCAAAGCTCGGGCGTAACGGGCCGATAGTCTTGGACCCGGCCCATTATCCCAACACGAGTCTCCCACTCCCTTAGACGAGTAGTAGACTCGGCTAAAAAGGAGTAGTTAAGTTGTTTTGGAATCGGCCCAGTTCCTGGTCCGATCGGTCATTAACGAGCCTTGAATTTGATCCAATTGCTTGTGAAAGGATGTAGTTGTTAGGTCCCCTAATTTTTGATAACTAATGTATGTTGTTTTGATGATGCCACCCCTCTTTGTATTATTCCTGTATTAGACTAGTTCTTGTATATGTTTTACTTTGTTTATTGTAATGTGCTCCAATATTAGTGATAAAGTACTCAAGAAAATAAAAGAGTACTGAAAAAGAGAAGAAACGTACCATAAAACAAAATAAAAAGAATAAAAAGAAAAGGTACGAAAAGAGTCAACTGAAACCCTTTGTGAAATTGGCAGCCATCCGGAAAAACCAGCAGCGTGCTGAAAAAACAACAACCTGCTGAAAAATCAGTAGCCTGCTAAAAAATCAGCAGCATGCTGAAAACTTTTCAGCCGGCTCCTAACTCAGTTTTTCAGCCAAATCAACCGAAATCTACTATCTTCTCTTAGCACAAAAACAATCAAACAAAAGACCAACTTGAGTCAAAATGACAAAAAGATTAAAGTATACGGGAATATACTCCATCATGAGTCCCCCACTCTCCAAAGCGAAAGTGAAACTTGAGGTGAGAGAGAATAAGTCTTCAATTTCTTGGGCTTGCACGCCCGACAGGGAGTGCCGCTCTCCACGGTCATGACAAAGGGGTACCTCATTAAAAACTCCGCTGAGGAAAAACCTTGTGGGAAAAAATCCTAACGGAGGAAAAAGAGTATACTCCGCCTTGCCATGAAGTACGGAGAGGAAAGCGGCTCCCCGCTGCAAAGTGATCCGAGCTCGAGCTTCATGTCCTTTGTTCCCCAAACCTGCTTCATGGGTTAGTTTCTACATCCACGGCCCCGACCGTGGGTTGACAAAATTTGTTTGCGAAAATTGCAAATAATTCATTGTGTTTGTGCAAAGTTTGTATTTTTTGAGATATACCTGCTTGGTACTGATCCCGAGGTTGCCATGTTGTTTTGAGCTCGTTGTAGTGCTGCTTTTTTATTTTGTTCCCGAGTCCCCCACCTACTAGTCCCCCACTCTTGTGGACTTGGAATATTTTCTAAGTGTGGAAGAGTATGAGTGTGAGGGGGGTGAGGTAGTTGTCTTTAATACTTGGTGGACTTAGGAGAATTCGTTGCGTGTAGTAACGCTGATGTTTGTACAAATAGGAATCTTTACATATTCCTTTTGTAACACTTTGAATTAATAGCCACTTCTCAGAATTTAATGCGAGGAATGGCGTTTGAAATGACTTTACGGCGCCATCATTGCGCTTTTTGCACGCCCTTTGTAAAAAACGTTTTAGTTTCTTAGGCGGTTGGAGAGTTGTGCGCCACGTGTAAGCTTCCCATTCAATTTTGAAGGGAAGTATAAAAGGCGAAAGCTTTCATCTTTCTTCCTTGCGCTTTCTTTGCATTCGAATTTCCAGAGTTTCCAAGCAATCTCAGAGCTTTTCTAATCCGGCTAGTGCTACCGTATTTTCAGTTTCTTTAGTCGAAATTTTCTGCCAGGTTAGTCTTCGGGCTCTGCTTGCTTGTGTGTTAATACGTTGCAGGCTAGCTGGAAAACCCAGAATGAGGGTTTTCCGTCAAACTGGTGTTGCGAGCAATGGGGGGTCTACAGTCCCCCATTGCTGTTGAGGTTGGTACCTCTGGACTCGGAATCGCACGCTGGTGTTGATTCGAGTGTTTAATTTTTGTTTGGGGGTCGGATTTTTGCTCCTTAACCCCGATTTTGATTCTCTGCATGTCTGTGATTTTTCTGCAGATTTCGGAGATGTCTTCTCATGGCGCTCCCGTTAACACTGGTGACAGGGCTGATTCGCATGAGGCCAAAGGAGTTGCTCCTGTGTTTGACGTCCCCGCTCTCCGCTCTTTCAGGAGGCGGAGAGGTGGCAAGGGGAAGCGTGGGGGCGCGGTAGGCACCCTTGCGGAGAACGAGCCCCTCGTGGATGTGTGCGCCCTTACCGATGTTGAGTGGGCCGAAATCAGGCGCATGGCTGGTCCCACCGTTGATATCATGAGGTCTGAGGCGGGGAGTTTGGCGTCCTGTTGCCCCTCGGGTTATTTCACAGTCCACCTGGACGCGATGGATCATGGCTTTCGTTTCCCGCTGCATCCATTTTTTGTGGAGTACCTAAACTGGGTTGGGTTGCTCCCTTGTCACGTAACTCCTAATGGGTTTTATCTGATTGCCGCCTTCCTCTTGCGCTGCAAGGTTCTAGACCTGGAGGTTAGCGTCGGCCTTTTTAGGCATCTGTTTCAAATCGGACTTAACAGTTCGCTGGAGAATCAGGGCTATGCCCTTATTTCCCAACGGTCTGGTAGGAGTGGGTTCTACCACACCCCGTCGTCGCACCACGGATGGAAGCACAAGTTTGTGTTTGTCTGTACAGATAGGAAGGCGGGGTCTCCCTTTACTGCCCCAGGTGCACTTTCGTTCAATATGCACGATGCCGGTGCGTTAGATGGGTTTGTCAATGCTGTGGGCACCTACATCAACTACGGTGATCGGGATATAACATCTTTCCTGCCCGAGGAGAAGTTGAAGGACCTCGGCTTCATCTTCTACGTCGAGGCTCCTGCTGAGGACCAGGGGGCTGCTACGGGTGGTGAACCATAATAACCCGCTTACGCGGCGTTGTAGTAAAACGGAGTCTAACCCTTCCGTATGGATTATCCCCGAGTCTCGTGTCTCTGAGGAGTGACGGAGGGAGGTGTTGGTTTCAATATCGGTCACCGATTAGTACGAGTCGTTGCAAGCTTTCTCAAACGATTAATTGTTATAATGATTAAGCAAATAAAATTAAATAACAAAAGTAGTAACAGATAATTTAATTAAATGACATTAATGACTAAACTAAAACTAGTGAACATGCAAAATAACTTGAGAGAGAATATTAACTAATTAAAATATTAAACAAGCAAATTTGTGGATGAGTAAAGTTTCAAAAATAAAATACTAAAAGGTAAATTTAATGTGACTAGTGACAATAAATTAACTAATTAAAATGGGGGTCTAGATTTGGAATTAAGGATCTTGGGTGTTTTTGGATTATGAACAAAAATGGGATAATTTCTCCAATCTAAGAATAGTGACATATTAATTCTCATAGACAAGAACTTGATTTTAATTCCCCTAACATGTCCTATTTTTAGGCTTAGTTTAGGGTGTGTGAGATGTGAGCTAAATTAATTCTACACTCGTAGACAAGCAAGAATTACTTTTCCAAACATTCAAAAGTGAAGTGATCAATTTCACAAATTACTCTTTCATTTCATCTCAAACAACTGGTCCTAAAAATTGGAGAAACTTTCTAAATTTAATTCAATATTCAAGAACACCCATTAACCTTAACTTTATTCAAATCCAAACCCCATGAAAAATTAGCCTAACATAATTATCAAGATACCAACACAATTAATAAAATAGCTACAGTAATTTGTAGATGAAATTAAACAGTAAATAAACATCATTAACAACTCAATTATCCAAGTAAACAGAAATTCGTAGTATGAAATAATACAGGAATTAAATCTTAAAGCTTATTGAAGTTTGAAATGGAAAGATGAAACCAGAATTGTTGCTGCTGTTATGTTCTTCTCCTAGACTGCCATTTTTTTTTAGTGTTTTGAGTTCGAATCTTCTTCCTAGCAGCTCGGATTTTTTTTTCTGCCCGGAGCTACTTACGGCTGAGTGATTTTGCTCCTGCGAACTAGAGCTGGGGTGTGTAATCCTCTTTTTTCCCCAGCTTCTCTCCTTTATTTATCTCTTTTCTTCTTTGGCTGCAACTGATGGAGCTCCTGTCCCTTCCGTTGGCCACACCATGTGCTGCAGTGATGGTGCCTTCTTTTCTTGTCTTTCTTTTTATTTTGTTTTGTTTTCTTTTGATTATTTTTCTTTGTTTTCACGCAGCTTAGCTGCAGTTTCTTTTTTTGCTTTTCTTTTGATTAATTAATGCACTTCATTTGTTTATTGTATTAAAAAAAACATTGAAATATAATACTCCGTAGGATGTTGAAAAGCAAAACGAAAATCAATCCAAACACTTGAATTAAACACAAATCACTCAAAAATGTAAATTTAACTCTAATTTCAAACATTAATAAAAATGCAACAAAAACGCGGAAAATGTAACAATTTGCTCCGAGTTTGATAAGAAACGCTGTAAAAAGTGAGTGAAAATATATGAACAAATCAGACTTTTCAATCTCCTCACACTTAAGCGTTGTTTGCCCTCAAACAACAAAACTACTCTCAAACATATTTTCAAGGCAAACTCTTTATAGTGCACACAACTCAAGGGCTCAAGATTACGCAGAATCAATCATCAATAGACTAAGATTCCAATCTACCTAACTATATTTCCATGAAAGCACATTAATAACTCAACTTTTATGACACAACATACCAATTAAAAAACCTTTAATACTAGCATATATGCAAAAATCACTACTAAGTAGTTATGAGCACAAATCAGCATTCACATTCAGAAACCCTCAGTTATTCTTAACTAGTCATGAAATACACACAAGCTCCAGTTCTATAATTTTTTTTAGCTCCCCTAGCATTTTTTTCTTTGTTTTTTTTTTGAAGAATGATCTTGGGGGAGCTACAAACCAAGCCAAGTTGGTATGAATTTTATGGTTAAACTAAAGCATCGATTTGTGGGACTATCTCATAAAATATACTCAACTCTCGCTGAATACGATAATGAGAAGAGCAGCGCCCCGTCTCGGAGATGAGACTCCCAACGAAGACACTTCTCAAATCAATAATCAAGTACAACCAGAATAGCGAAAGATATTCTATCAATTGCTAAAAGCAGAGCCTCATTCGAGGATAGAATTCTCCCTAATCCAAATAATTTAAATTTTAAGCTAACCAAGGAGCATTGTATATATCCATGAAAAGAAATTAAGACCGAACAACCATTCAAACCAAAAATCCAAACTTGTGCACACAACTTCAAAGTAGAAATCAAGCATATCTACTAATAATTAAAGATTTTTTTTAAATATAATGGTAATAAAAAGATTAGTTATAACAAAAGTTTCATAAAAAATAGTTAAAGTAGATTACACCTTAACTTAGTTCACCTGAACCTCTTGTCATGCACACTAGTTCAATCCATTGCCTTGTTCTAAACCCTACTCACACTTGGAGAACAGACCTCGTCCTCGAGGTCTCAAATAAAATCAAAATAAAACAGGGCAAATAAACAATTTTTTTCAAACATACCCTCCTCACACTTAAGATGAATCACAAATAAACACACATGGAGGAAAAAAAATTGATAGAGAAAAGAAGTACTCCCCTTGTACTCAATATTGAAGAAGATTTGAAAGAGCAAGCACAAGTCAAAATTTAATCTCATCGGGGAACTCCGGTGATTAACCTGAAAAAAAACTAAAGAAAACAAAATATAATGGTGAATTAAAACAAAACACACAACAAGTGGGAAAAACAAAACAATAGAATTTTTTTGGTTTTTTTGCAGTTTTTTTATTTTTTTTAGTTTATCCCTTTTTTTGCATTTTTTTATTTTTCTTTTATTTTTACTTTTTTTTAGTTTTTTTAACCTCCATTTTTAACACTTGGGTTGCCTCCCAAAAGCGCTTCTTTAACGTCACTAGCTTGACGCTTTTATCCACTTTTTTCTTGATCTTCCAACTCTTGGATCATACAGCTCGGTCCTCAGAACTCTTCTGGTGTACCACCATTGTTTCACAAAATCCTCCAAGCAAGAACAAAGGCTTGTGCATCTTTCTCATTTTCAGGTGGTAAAATAAAATAAGGAAAGTCATCCTCATTCTCCAGATCCTCCTCCTCAATCTGGATAGTTTGGAGCCTTGTACTAGTATCAAGTACATCAAGGAGCAAGTCAAGGACCTCCTCCACACTTGTTTCTTTCTCATTCTGTGTAGAATTTTCTTGGTCAACTTGCACATCCAAAGTCTCCAAAAGTAGATCCAGGAGGTCCTCAATTTCATTGACTAACTCAGGAGTTTTCTTCTTCAATTCTTCACATGATGCAATCACGATTATCTCAAATTCCTCCTCTTGGTGAGATGCCTCATCAAATTCGGCAAGATATGGTTTCAAAAGATCACCATTTTCAACATCACTTTCGCATGAAATGTCTTCCGCATCAACATTTTCTTAAATTGGCTCAAAGATCTCTTCATCTTCATCAAATATCTCATTTTGCAGCCCCGTTAAGTTTTGCATTTCCGTGGATATCCACCCCTAGTCTATGGATTCTTCATCAATTGTGGGTGCTTCAGTACTAGCATCCACCAAACTTTCCTGAACTTCCATGAAATGACTCAACTTATTTACTTGACTTGATTGTGATTTGAGATTCTTCACTTGAGTTGTCAGGTTGTCAATTATTGTTGTGAGGGCTGAAATTTGATCGGTGCCTTGAAGTGTAGTCTCGGAAGAAGATTATGTCTCATAGTACCAGTTCTTAGCACTTGAGATCACATTCTCCATGAGCGTTTTACTCTCTTTCGATGTCATGTCGAGAAATGAACCCATCTTTGAATAATGGTCCAACTTTTTTTTACTTACAACTTGAAGTCCATAGTAGAAATAGAACATCAAGTCATAAGCATCCATCAACTGTGCAGGACACTTTCTCCGTAAGCCTTTGTATCGATCCCAAGCCTCACCTAGTGTTTCCATCGGGGCCTGTCGGAAATTTTGAAATGATGCTCTGATTTTTGCAACCATCGATGGAGGAAAATACTCCTGCATAAACGCCTGATGAAGAGCATTCCAGGTGGTGAAGTATCCAGGTGGAAAAGAATTTAATCACCAAACAGCTTTATCCCGAAGAGAGAATGGGAATAAGATAAGCTTCATAGTGTCAATTGGAACTTCACTGATCCGGAAAGTCTGACACGTTCTATTAAACTACAATATATGCACCCTCGGATCTTCATGTTTCAAATTGCTAAATTGATTAATCGATATCACTTGGATGATATCTGGTTTAATCTCAAAATCAGTGGCATCGATTGGCGGAATGATGATGCTATCATCCTCAGAAAAGTCCACAGTTAAGGTTTCATGAACTGTTCGCTTCTCCCTCATCCTGATAATTTTTTTTCTTTCAGGGCTTCTCAATGTGCTTTCGGTTAGAGAGCAAATGATAGAAACTTGTCATGTTTGAAAGAGGGAGATTTTACAAACTGATCCTGCAAACTTGAGAAAACAACACACACAAAAAACAGAAAATAAAAGAGAAAGTCTCACTAACTCGGGTTCGCCTATGCCGATAATAAAAGCCAACTTACAACCGTGCCACTCCCCGGCAACGGCGCCATTTGATAACCCGCTTACGCGGCGTTGTAGTAAAACGGAGTCTAACCTTTCGGTTTTTCCCCGAGTATCGTGTCTCTTGAGGAATGGCGGATGACTTTTCTTAATTTAGTCTTAGTCACGGGCTATCGCTAATCGTTGGAAGCTTTTTCAATACAAAAGAGGGTGATTGTTTTCTAAACTAGGCCAATTTGCAAAATTATAGCTAGGAACAATTTTCAACTTAAAGATGAAGACTTAAGATCAAATATTCCAAGATTAATGACAAGATTGAGGCAAATAAGGGCAATGAATTGAGTAATTAGAAATGGATATATTCTTGGGCCTAGTAATTAGGGGAATTAAAACTAAAATTAGACTAATAATTTCTTTTCTCATAGACAGGAATAGAAATTACTCTCATTAACTTATCCTATTTCTAGGTTTCATTAATGTATTCAAAAAGAGTTGGCTTGAATTAAATTCTAATCTCATAGACAAGATAGAATTAATCCTCCAATATCTTAATTAATAAAAACAGCCAAATTCATTAACTAATTAAACTCATTATTTAAGCAAATTGAATTTATTTCTCATAGACAAGATGTAATTCCTTTTCATTAAAATTTCCTATTTCTAGGTCTTATTAATGTGCTTGAATAAGGTTGGCTCAAATTATTTTCTAATCTCATAGACAAGTTAGAAATAAATTTCCAAGATTTAATTAATGGAAATGGCTAACAATTATTAATTACTATTTCATCAATTTGAATAACTAGTCCAATTAGTTAATTTTAACCCCTAATTTTTTTGGCTAACAAGTCAATCCATATTCCTTTATTCAATTCATGCCCAAAACAAATTTAACTACTAAACATTATTTTTGCATTCAACAATCTAGTAAATAAATTGAACAACTAATTAATAATTTTTCCAATGTTAACTATAAAATGGAAAAGGCAACTAAAAATACCTTAAATTCGTAATAAATTTTGTATTGACTACAGGGGTGATATTGCAGTGGAATAAACTGGAATTAGGACCGTAGTTATTTTTTTTCTATTTTTAGCTATTTAATTAAATTTATGCAATAATAACAACTAATTGTCGAAATTAATTAAAAATTACTCGTGCTTCGTGAAAATTCACTTCCTTCAGATAAATAACAACCTTGAGGCTAGTAAACAACTATATAATTAATTGGAATGAATTCAACATCAATAACTATTTTATTTAATTTTTGGAAGAAAATACGAAATACTAGATAAATATTCTGGAAAAATTCGAAGAACTGATCGAGAAAACAAAGCAAAGATTCAGATTCTACTGGTTGAGAAGATGAAAATACATATAAAGAACTCACAACTTGAAGCTAAAATGAAGAAGATATGAAGATTTGAAGTTTCTCTCTCCCAAAAGAGCTTGGAGCTGCGGAAATGGAGGATGAAAAGAGGATATTCGAACTGATTTAGAGTTAGAAGAGGTGTGTTTGAGTTCAGCAAAAAACGGGCTATTTATAGCTGAATTTTTCCCGTAGGCGGTCTGAAGGGCAGCCGCCCTTCGCCTGAATTTGGCCGCATGTCGTCTTTTCACCGGCAGCGGAACGTGCCTTACGTCACATCGCCGCAGGCAGTCACGGAGGGCGGTGGCTTGCCGTTTCTGTCTGGCCGCCTGCCGTCTATTCACACCGACGGTCGTTGG